TCATAGCACAAGCAGAGGAAAGAAAGCCTTTTGCAGAAGAGGTCGTGTCTGCACTCTCCACCAGGACCTCTTGGGCATTCTTGAGAGAGGGATTTGATTATCTTTCTTGGTATGTTACCTTTTGGCAGAATGAAGAAGAAAATGGCTTTCCCACATCATTTTTAATTATGACTACATGAGGGAAAATAAACAAATATACTTCTTAAAATATAGGTTTCCCCTAAATTAAACGTGTCACCCTGGTCTTGCACTTTCACAGACAAAAGTTGCCGTGGAACAAGGCAAACATTACATCTATCCCACACCAAGGCAGTACTAGGCTAAGGTTCCCAGTTACATGTGGCTAAAGTGGGGAAGGTTTTGCAAGAATACTTATCAAAGGGAGAAAAAAATTATTCAAACTTGATGTGGTACCATAGTCCCAGAACTTCCCGGGGAATTTCTCATATAATCAGTAATTTTAATAACTGGTTATTTCATAGATGCTATTTTTCAGCCTTCAACGTGTACTTGTATAACATTTAATAGATCTTTATACAATGTAAAACAATTTTATTTGAGTAGATTTGCTAATTAACAGATTTCACAAATAAGCTTTCTCAGCCTCCCAACGACCACATTTCAGGTTCTCAATTGACCTTTTACATGATTCACAGAGCACTTGGGTTATGCATGTATTTTTTCTTCTGGTATGTTGTCAGACAAATATTAGTCAGCATCTTCCTAATGCTGGTGAAGTTCTTCAGAAGGATCAGATACAGGTTTCAAATGCTGTGAACTCCAAAAGAAGCACTGTCCTATTCTGTCCCAGTTCTGATTCAAGGCTATACCTGCACAGCAGCCTGAGTACTCCGAGACGGCAGTGACAGGCAGTGCAGAAATCACTGAAATGGTTGTCTGAGGTAACATTTTAAATAGAAGAAGTTTCATTATTCACCTGTGAAATAGGATATAGGAAATAAGACATTGTCCGAAGCAGCACCTAAACATGAAAAAAAAGGGACAAAAAGAACCAAAAAAGTTGACAGAAAAAGACAAAGAAAGCTCATACTAGAAGTTAAGTCTATTTTTTTTTTTAATATGAACCTTTGCTTTACCCCTTCTACAATTAAACTCTGTCCTTACAGCTATTTTGAAGCCCTGTGAAGCATATTCATAAGTGGCAGGTCATCTCCAACCTGTACAAGACCGCAGGTTCTAGTACTTATTTTTTATGCCTCAAAAGACTGGTAATTTGCATTTGTTGATTTTCCCACTACTATAGATGTAACTGCAGGGAAGGAAAAAAAGAGAGAAGGATATACCTAATAGCAGAGTGCTTGACCCTTTCTCTGAGGCCACACGTTGCGCTAGACGAAAGCGGGCATGAGCAATACCTGCAGAGAGTGATGCTTAGCTGCCCTTGCTGAAGGGCATCCTGCAGGGATCGAACTTGGGCTGGTAACTGCTATTATGTGTTAAATTGAGCATTTCTCATACTCATAAGAGAAGTAAATTAAAGTGGTGATTTTGAAAAGCATGAAGTCTAGTCTTAGCCTGTGTTTTTACCACAACTCTTTTTTCCATCACTAACCTTGTAACTCTTCTAATTAGTCACCTGGAGCTGTAGCAAGACACTTGGTGCCAGAAGCATTCCTCCAAACTTGCCTTTGCAGCATTTTCCTGCTTTCTCCCTTTCTGTCATCCAGCTTTGAGCTGTGTTTCTTTACTGTGGCCGCCTGCTCAAACCTACCACCTTGGACCTGTGTTTACACCATCAGGCAGCAAACCCCAGGCATGTTTGCCCCTGTTTGGCAATGCTCTCACCCAGAGCTTTTGCTTTGCTTTTCTTCTGACTTTGAAATTGCAGTTCTCAGGTCAGTGGTCATTGAGCCAACTTCTCAACCCATGCAAGTTAATGGGAATCCTGGTGTTAACTAGAAAGATTTGACCCATGTAATTTTTTATTTACAGTGTCAAAATCGTTGTGTTGCATTGTCAGTCTTGTCCGTGTCAATTATGTTTCCACCCCAGATATTTAGCAGGAACCACAGCTGCTGCTATGATGAAAGGTAACACCTCTCACATGTTCTTTAAAAGAGTAAGAGTAAAGCTGAATTAATTTTGCTAAAAAATTGGAGAGACTGACCCTTCTAGGACATAAACAGAGGTCTAGAGCCACTACTACCTTTTAGCCAGAGGAACTGTTGTGCTGGACACTGAAGTTCTGCCTCTTCAATATCAGTAAACTACCCCCGTAAGAAAAGCACTGAAAACTGTCACTTGTCAGAGAATATTAGGAGACAATTTCAGTTCCAGCTTGTCCAACTTAATTCACTTGCCTAATGCTAATTTATAGGTTCCAGTAGGAGTAGAAGTAACCTACCTTGGGTGATAGGCCACCAAATAGCAACTCTTTTATTAACAGCCAGACGTCTAGTGAGCTGACACTGTCATGTGAGAGCAAGTATTTTTATAAACCTCTCTCGAAGACCTGACTGTCACATTTTGAGAGCTATCCTTTAAAGAAGATTTGTTTAAAAAAATATACAAAGTCCTTACTGGCAGACAGAGGTACTGCCAGAAGGGCTGGATTTTGAAACAGCAGTATTTGGTGCAGTTAGTTTCTAGCTGCTTCAGTATATATAAAGCTGTACATATGTTAATAAAAATAATAGGGGTTTTCATCAGGCATTATGCAGTCCTACTACCTTATATAATAAGAATAAGCCAAGTGAATGCCAGGTGATTCAACTACAATTCAACTAAAACCATGTCAAGTAATTAGATAGATCATCTATAATTGCTGCAGAAGTGATTAAAAAAAATCAGTAAAGATCATATTGTTATATGAAGTTATATATTCTCTTTGCATTGAGCATGTTAACTCCTGCATTGTTTGTGATCTGTGACTATCATAACCACTACACCCATATTAGCCACATGCAAAGGCAATTCAAAAGTAACAATGAAAATCACCCACCTGCTTTCTATGGCATTTATAAGGCTCAGTCAATTATTCCTTTTCCCTAGCTTGTAACCCAAAATTAGGGTAAATGAAACCATGTGAGGACTAAGATACAGCCATCCCAGCTAGTAACCCTGCTGTCTCTACCAGTTGCCATGATATGATTCACTTTGAATTGCTAGTACCCATGAGAACAGGTAAAATTTGCACTCTTTAAAGAAAAATAATTTGTAGGAAAATAGACTATTTTACACTGAAATGTCTATAGGAGCAAGAGTGTATTTATCCCGATTTCTCATTGATTCTAAAATGCAGTTGTATTTCCTTAAAAAAAAAAAAAAAAAAAATTCTTCATGAAAAGTTAGATAAGAGTATCTTCATGCAACAGAAGATATATGCTTTGATGGAGAAGCTAAGCTGAGTTATAAGTGACTTCTAGTTTGGATTTCTCTGGTTGGTTTGTCCAAATGAAGATCATTTTAGCTATTATAGATCAGAAGACAGAAATAGTTCTTGGCATGCTACAAGTCACAGCTGTTTTCATCTCCAACTGGATGTCTCTGAAATCTATAAGTTCTTTGCTGTTTGAGTACTTGCTTTAGACTAGTACTTGATTAAAAAAAAAATATATTTCAGAATTATTTTGGGGAGCAATCTATTGCTACTTAGATTTAAGTTTCAGAGCTTTTAGGCTATTTCAATCACAGTTGCCTTTTTTTTTTTTTTTTTTGAGGTAATCTTGGAATCTATCTTTATCCATACTAGTTATATATTAATGTGCATCTGTTTTAGGATGTAGGAGTTCTTATATACTAAGTAGATCTGAAGAGGTAAAATTTGAGTAGTTATATGGACAGATTGAAACAAACAGCAGAGCCTATGTCTCAAAAAATGCCATTAGAAGCATTGAGCTCTATTTAGAGAAGCAGACCTGATATACCACTGCCTTGTAGTGTGTATGCATTTATGTTTGTGCAAAATAAATGCAGAATGCTTCTCATTCTTAGTTAGGAGTTTTTTGAACAGGTGTTAGTGGTCTTAATGAGATCCACAAAATGGAGAAACTGATCTGGGAAATCAGCAAACTTCTCTGTGGATAAGGTAGCAGGAGCATTATAAAGCACTATAAGTTTGGCTCTTCCTAATTTCCTTTCAAGCTTGTAATTGCTTTTGGTTGATATGAGAGAACACATCATCTCTGCCCTTGCCCCTTATGATGCATTGTAGCTATGGTGTAATATCTGGCTAAAGAAACAGTTCTGGTTTAGGTTGCTTGTAGATTGCTTTTTTTTTCTTTGCTAATACATTCAACTTGCTTTCTTTTGAAATTTGCTTTTCTAACTTAAATGTATTAGCATTACTTATTTTTATAATTAGCTTTATCTGAATTTCAACCAAAAATAACAAGAAATGTAATCATGATTAGATATTGTTAACCTTAAAAAGAAAACAAAACACTTCTCTTTATCTTTGCTTGCCATTTTTCACTTGTTGCCTAATTAGAGTATTAGATTATTTTAACCAAATTATTTTCTTGATCTGTTACTTAAATTGTGCTGAAAATGTTAGCTTTCATGTGTATTTACATCTTTAACATACAGGTAGAGTTGCACATACAGTATTGGATTCAGGTAATTTAATGGGTAATATAATTCTGGGGAAAAATCTTGTTCACCCCCAAATGTACTAATTGAATAAACTGATTGAGTTCCTGAGTGTTGCTAAATTCAGAAGCTGAAATATTGATATACCTCTTTGGTTTTGTTTTTTTTTTTTTTAATACTCTCTGATCCTGTATGTAATGTCACAAAAGTGACAGGTGCCCTAAGAAATTGTAGTAGCGCAGTGTGGAATTCAAAGCGAGAGTCTTACCAGTTTGCTAATTACAGTGAAGGAGACCAGAAGTATACCTGTAACTTAAGCTGCTCTACTCAGTCATACTCAAAAAAAGATAAGCATGCCTGGTGCAAACGGAAGAGATATGCAAGAGAAGCAACTTTTGAACCACATGGCTGACAAGGAGCAAAGACCGTTACCTGGGAGAAGCAACCATGATGAAAACCTGTCTCAATCTGCGAAGAAATTCCAAGAGGCTATTTGTGTGCTGCTGGTGGAGCTGTGTGAGAGATTCACGTTCTTTGGCATAGTCTGCAACATGATCCTCTTCTGCACTGTCAGACTTGGCTATCGCAACTACCAGGCAGCTATTGTCAATATGTGCTTCGTAGGCACCTCCGTGTTGACACCAGTACTGGTTGGCTGGGTTGCCGAATGCCTGGTGGGGAGGATCAAGCTTGTGTGCGTCTGCATGTTTCTACACTTCCTAGGTAGGTGACACCCTGGGGACTATTTCATCTTTTAGTAATTCTGTTGCAGAAATGCATTGTTGAGTACTGTGTTTGAAATCTAATAACTTTCTCCAACCTTGTGGCTACCTTCTCTAACAGCTAATTACTTAGTTTCTCCTCTGCAAAATGCACTGCAGTATTTTTGCCTATGTACTTTTGTGAGGCAGTGCTTTGAGCAAGACTAAGGAATGTTTGCATGTGTATCTTGTAGATAGTTGGTGCACAAACCTGACTCCTCTAAACTGGCTTAGCTATTCAGAACATGGATGCTCAACTCTTAAAATTGGTCCCTTTAACAAGCATCTAAGGTTATTAGTGTTTGGTGCAAATGTGAGGCTTTAGTTAGATAGTTTGAGAGAGAGAGTTCAGAAGGTGTTTCCCAGCTGTTGGTAGTAGGACTTTATTGTATGTAAAGGTATATGACTGTTGTATTTGGACAAGAGGGAAAGATGTATTTAAGCACATACCAGTATAAACTTTGCCTTAACTAGAGAGGCTGTATCCTAATACCTGTATTGAGAGCCTGCTTTCTGTTAGCACATTCTGAATCTTCCCCACGTGTTATTCTGGAGATCTTTTCCGTAAAAGCACTGTTCAAACTAAGTATGACTGTTCTGTAGCAATTAACGCATCTTGCAGCTGGTGGTATTCTGTCCACTTAAACAAAGCTGATATAGATACTTTTTACTTGGACCAGTAGTTGAGCATACACAAGTCTGACTTCTGCAGTAGCCAGCCACATTGTTATTTAAACATGCAACAAAGTAAGGAAAAAATCAGAGTCATTCCTGAAATTTTCTTGAGCTGATTGCAAAACCATTGTGCAAACAGCCTGGAAAAATGATTGCTATTATGTTCCACTGTTTCTCCCATGGGCTTCTGGTTTGAAATCTCCTTCTGCTGCTTGTCCTTTCAATGCATATGTTAAAGTAGAAGACTGGTGACAAACAGAACTTGATGTATTGGGGTATTGTTTTAACCAGAACTTTTTTTTTGTTTTGGAGATAGATCATTAAACATTCCTGACATATTAGGGCTTGATGCACAGTCATATTCTTAGTCATGGCTAGTGTTGGTGGTGTTGACACATCAATATATTTTGAGTTTAGTCTCCAGTTACAGCTTGAAGAATCTGTAGCTGATTAAATCTGAAAGACTTGCTTTGCAGACTAGAGGTCGTAAATGCAATTCGTGACAGTGCTTCTATAGGTAAAGTTTCTGAAAGTCATGTGTTTCCCATGAAGCTGCAGCAGGAAAAAAGAAAGTTTTCCATAAAAGGTTTGAGAATTTATTTGTTAAATTATGATTCCCATTACAATTCTGGGGTTTAAAGATGCAAAAATGGCTACACTCCACCATGGGGTGGTTTTTTTGGTTGATCAGTGGTTCATCAGGTGATGTTACATGTTTTAACTGGTGCCCTCTGGCAAGTGGAGAGCTACTGTCCTCTGTATGCAGGTAATGGGGAAGGCCAGTGAGAGGAGCTACATTCTGAGAGTGAGTCTTCAGCTAACTGAAGAACCTGAATCCTTACAAGCATTTCAGAGGAAGATTGCTTTCTTGGAGGCCCTTAGAGGTCCTGCCTTACTATACATAGCAACATCCAGACAGGTTCTGCCTCTCTACAGAATTAAGACTCTCCCTCTTTGCACTCCTCTGTTGTGTATCTTGATTTTTCATCTGTCTTTTCAACATAACTGCTTAAAAATATGTATGTCTTATCAGTCTGATTCTAATCAATTTCAAATGACTATTTTCTTTCCAATTCCAGGCACAGCGCTATTACCTGTTGTGGCATTCCCCTTTGAAGATATTTACATTGACAGACGACATATTCTTCATATGCTATCCAAAAGGGAGCAGAAAATAGTATTCTACTTTGCACTACTCACAGCTAGTCTGGGAATAGGAGGCATAAGAGCTATAGTTTGTCCATTAAGTGCATACAACCTTGAGGACTGTGGACCAAAGGAACTGTTTTCTTTTTTCAACTGGTTGGTAACTTAATGTCAGCTAAATATCTGTTAGGGATGATAGAGCATTACCTTGAAATTCACTGCTGACTTACAAGGCAGAGTCTACAGATGATGGATTTCATGTTTTGTTTTTAATTGCAAAACTTTTAGATTTTAGAATAGTTTCCAAGAATTTTTGTAAGAACTTTTCCTAAATGCTTCCTTTTGCTAGAACCAGTAGGTGATCATCTGTTTTGGCCTCCTACAGAAATCTTCTGTCAGAATTAGGATGAACTGATTTGCCCAAATGCTCAACGACTTGACAACTTAGTTGCTGTTAGAACAACATATTCCATTTGGTTTTCTACCTTTAACATGGCTATGCCTTCAGGATATTTTGCCCTTACTCCCTAATTAACAGTGGCAAAATTCAATGATATATTAGAATTTACATCAGAGTAAATTTTTAGCTATGACACACAGCAGTCGAGTCTGCTGGTTTGTTGGAACTAGGGGTTGCTAGTAGTCTCTAACTGCTAACCTCAATGGTAGGGATCTGCTGTATTTTTTCAGCTCTGTTGCTGTGATGTTTTGGCATCAGATAAACCACTTCACATTTGTGTTCTGGTTTGAATATTTTCAATTTTTTAAGAAAACTTTGAGGAAAAATTGCTCCTAAAATGGTTCTTAAAATTCAGTTTTGTTTCATATTAACTATTTCTCTCTCTCAGTGCGTCAGGTCATTTCTGGTGATGTGTTTGCCTTTATTTCCCACTTCTGTAGCACTATACTGAGTGCTGTATGCATTCATCTACGCTTTCTGGTTAAACTGTGGAGTGAGGATCAAAGAAGTCACAGTGGGAACCTCCAGATTCCTGCTTCAAGGCAGGGTGAAATAAGCCCTAAACCGGCCCCTTTTCTCTCCTTTCCCTATACGTGCACAGTTATTAAAATAAAAACTGAGCACATTTGCATATTAACAATGCAATGCTGAAGAATCAACGAAGATCTTAGTGAATCGGATCTCTCCTCCTTTGGGGATGGCTTTCCTGGCTATTCTTTTTTCCTCCAATTATGCTAATATCAAAGAGTTTTGAATTAAATCCAAACTTCAGTGAATAAGGCAGCTTTACCAAAGGTGGATGAGACTGTTTAGGTCCTTAGAGCAGATTCTGCCTCCTTGACCTGCCCACGGGAGAGGGAGGGAATATCCTTCCTTTTTACTCTATTCTGAGTTTTAATCCTTAATTAGCAACATCGTTTTGATTAAATAAGACTCTGGGGGATTAAGACTGGAGAGCAATCAGTTGTTCTGAAAGATGGCTCTGGAGAATTTATTGTACTATGGTCTTAGCCATTCAGAATTGTGTTTAATCAAAGTGACACTTCTCAGTGTTGATTACAAAAGAGATATAATACGAATAAAAAGTTCCTTGGGGGAATCCAAATGGGTCAGTTCTTGGAACTTTGGAAATACTAAGAAAGGCACATGTGCAATTAAAAAAAATTAATAATTTTTGCAGTGGCATCCAAGGAAGGACTGTTTGAGTGCAATCTCAAGATTTGAAAAATGGGGGGTTCATTCTTAGCAATCTTAATCTTGTTAAAACCTCTTGAATATAATCACTTTTTCTTGGTAGGCTGTTTTCTCTTGGTAGGTGCTTGTTTTAAAATTCAGTCCCATGACAATGTAAAATGACATGGTTGTATACTCTTGGTGAGCTTGAGTCTGTGTTCTTAGCCAAGTTCTATTTAAACAATCAGAATTATTGGGTTAAAGATTGGGTTAAAAGACCCTGTAATTACCTGTTGTGTAATTCAATCCTTGAAGAAGATTGCTTTGCACATCTAGGACCTGGTTCTAACCCCTAGCATGAGCTATGACTGACCTTTTAAATAAACAGAATATACCAATGCTAAGTGGAGAAAGGACTTGGATTCTGGTGGACTGTTTCCCAAAGGACTTCTGCTTTTCTAAGGTCAAGGTTATGGACTGGTACTATTTTTGTAGCAGGAGAAGTAAATTCTGTCTATGGGAGCAGAGAATAACAGCAAAGGGTACAATCCAGACTAGGGATGAGAGTTAGAAGTGTTGTGTCTTGTCTTACTGATGCGCTGTAAAAAAATGCAGAGAACATGGGACCAGTAGTATTTCTCTACCCTGCACTGCCCTTCCCTTCCTTTTTTCTTTTCATATACTGCAGATCAGTTTCTTCTGTTATCCTGGACACACTTTACATTCACTTTAAAAAATTCTTTTCTACCCCTTTGGGTTTCCCACACACACACACCTTGTCTTTGCAGAGAACTCCACAGTGATTCTGAAAAAATTTACCTCCTCCTACAAAGCTGTAGTACAGTGGATACTGGTCCATACATGGAATATCTGGGTCTGAGTTTGGATAAATCAGAACTTAAACTGTGAAAGCTGGATGTGCTTAAAAAATAAAAGCAAATGATATTTCAAGTGACAGGACATCTACTGAGTTTTCAAAATTAATCCAAAAAGTGACAAAAGGTCAATTTTAGAATATTTTCATATATTTAACTTGATCTCAGATTGTTTCATTCAGCAGGTTCATCTCAATTGTTACATTAAGTAAAAACTTTCTGAATACTGTATAAATATAAACAATACTTTTAAATAAGAAGTCACCTGCATGTTACTTCTTTAAAGTTATCACAATTAATATATTTCTGTAAAATCTTATAATGAGATTATTAGGTTTTTATGGGCATGTCACAATAGCATTTAGGTTTGTATTTGACTGCTTTCTTGAAATGAACGTCCCAAGTTGGCATTTGGCTCTCACTGTGAGAAGACCTCAGAGAGCTGCAGCTCCAGGAAGGAGCTGTTCCCTGCAAAGTTGGACGTGATATTCTGTTTGGAGTATTTAACTAATTCAGCTATGCCCTGCTGGGATCTCTGAGACACTTTACATAATGCAAGTCCAAATATTGCAATATTGGATAGCTGTGGTATATGAGAGCTAGCAAGATGTGTTTCTGTTTGTGTAGGTTCTGATCTACTGCTGTCAGTATGGTATGAGCAAATCCCAAAATTCTGATGTGTTCATTGAGGCTAGTTTATCTTTCTTGTTTGGCTCATAGGGGTTGCTAAAACATGTTGAGTGGTTTTTTTCCCCTCATTTCTGGGAGAGGACAGGAGCTTTACATTTCAGTCTTACAGAACTTTGCTATGCACTGGTGAAAAACAAAGGCTTTCTCCTGTACTCAAGGGTTTTCTTTGGAGTTTCTTACTTCCAGTGAAACAATCGTAGAGTCATGAAGAGTGTCAGGACTTCAGGTAGCTCAGGCACACTTCTTTAGAAAGTTTGGAAAACAGCCACTGAAACTTCTATCTTAAAAATTGTCAGTTAGGAATTGTTTCAAAACTTTCTACACAAGTTCTAGTTGATCCTGTTGTGTAACTGTATTTTTTAAAAAGCTTTAGTTGAACAGGGATCAACATGTGTATGTACAAAATCCCTCCAACTACACCACCATCACAGAGTAACATAATTCCAAAATGCCTAGAGACCTCTTGCAGCAGAGGGGAAAAGTCCATAGTTCTGATGAGTATCATGTCCTGAAAATGTAAATTACTTAAAGGAAACAGTAATTGGTTTGGAACCTCAGATGTGACTTGGTGTGACTTCAGAGAAATGCGTGAAGCAGGAGACCTTGCTGCTGTGCATGTCCTTGCTGGTTCTGGAAGACCTGCTGCTGCATGGCTCTCAGCAGCACTGACTTTGCCCTGGTTGAGTACGTCATTTTTCTTCTGCTACTTGCCCTGGGTCCTGTGAGGCAAGCTGCATAAACGTGTTCCCATGCCTACTGCTGCACAGCCCTGTGGTCATCTCCCATCCCCTAGCAGAATGAGTGAGTGTTGTCTTTGTAACTGAACAGACCTGAGTAGCATTACCAAGGTCCGTACTTCTGACACGATAAAAGTTTTGCTTGCTTGGCAGTAGCTAGATGTGATGTAATGGGCAACGTCAGAACAAGTGGAAGGAGTACAGCAGGTACTTCAATACTCTAACTTGCCATATGACTATGTTTTTTCTTAGCAATTATGACAGGCCACCTAGAAATCATTTTAAATTAATGAAATGGGCTTGAGGAAGTCTCCTAGGTGTCAAGAGAGACTTGCAATCCCCCTTTTAGGATTTTCAGATCAAAACATTTTTCTGTGATTGCTGATACAAAGAACTGCAGTGGTAGGCTGATACTTTGCTCCTGCCCTACCCACTCATTTGCAGTTAAGGAGGGATCAAGCTGGAAAGCTTGGGAGTTGGATTGCTGAGGGGTAACTGGTCTGCTACAACATGTTAAGGTTTTCTTTTATTGCCGAGAAGGTAATTCTAGATGAATTAGGAGACATAAATACTCAAGTCCAAATAGCATACATGAGGCACAAGTGGCACCAGACAAGAAAGCAAGCTTTGCTTCCTCAAGCAGTATGTACTAAGCTATATAATCATGTATCAACGTATATTTCACCTTTAAATTAAACCATTTTGCTAAGGTTCCAGCAAAGGTGAAGGAATCTTCTCTTGCAGTTACTTACAAAATGTAATCTATGATATATTGAGGTAGTACTACTCCATTATTGATCCCTCTTCTTTGTTTAAAATACAGTTATTGTCTTTAAAGCCAACTTGGAACTTGAAAGTTTAGTGAAAGTTAAAATTCTTAACTTAAAATTTCATAGGCTAAGTCTGCAGGCCAGAGTCAATTCTGAAGCAAAAATTGCTGAATGACTAACACTGACTCTTCAAACAAAGTATCATGCTGATCCCCAACAGTATTTTTGGAAACTGTGACTCCAACAAAGCAGGTCCTCCCTAAATCTCATCTCTCTACTTTGAGATGCTGAATATTCGAGTCTGCTCTGTAGCCTCAAACCCCTGTTTTTTGTCAGAGTTATGTTTTAAGGGAAACCTTGGTTAAAGCTCTGCTGAAAGCAAAAAGGCAACACAAGTGTCCTGAAGAACAGTGTAATGGGAGCACTTTAGAATTTAAGAGAAGTTAGAGGGGTTATAACTGAAACACTTGTATTTATGGATGGTAGAGTAAAAATTGGTCAGTCATGTTGTGAGAAGAGAGCTATACAATAGAAGAATAGAAGTACATTTTGTTTCACTTCAATAAATAGCTATACAGTTAACTAACTTCTTGAAAAAGCTGAATTTTAGAAGAACTCGTGATTTAACGTGTTACATAGGAATCGGAATCCAAGGAAAGAAAGTGTGATGACAATATACTCTGAACTGCACAGATATGAACTCATTTGCTAGGATAAAGAAAATAAGTAGTCATCCTTTTGCATACTATCAGGGAAATGCATTGTTCTGGTATTTTTTATTTTGGGGGTTTGCTTTTTGCTATCCTTATAATTTCTTAAAGCAGTGGTTCCAAACTGCGGTAGGCCTATCACTAGTGGTATGCCATCTGCTTCCAAGAGTATGCGGTTTTCATTTTAATATCTCCTGTGCATAGGAGAGGCTCAACGCTTACTTGGGAAGCACCTCTACTGCCAAAGGCACTCTCAGAGCAAATTATGTTGGGGAGCCTCCTTATCAAGATAACTCCAGAAGCCAACAAAAATTCAAGCTGAGCCTTGCAACTAATGGAAAAGCCATCCCTTCTGATAAATCAAATTCTAATATTTCTTAAACAAGGGATGGTGGCATTAAGACATTTCTCTTAAGCTTAAAGTATGTGATTTCATGATATTGCATACACAAAACTTATGTTATCAGCTAATACATGTGTAAATGGTAAATGTTGATGTATTTTATTAGTCTGATCCACAAGAATATTTGCAGTACTAGATTGATAATTGGTTCAGCTCTACTGCTTTAGTACACTTACTTTAATCATATACCTCTTGGAGCTGAGACATCCAAGTGAAATTTGATGTTAATTGCTGTGTCAATGTGTTCATGGTACTGATGCTGTCCAAGCTTACTATACTTATCATGCCTTTAATTTGTTGTTTTAATCTTCTGTAAAGGCCTTATACTATTCAGCCTCTCCACTCTTCTCTCTCTTGTCTGTGTGTACTAGGTTTAATTGGCTGGTTAACTTGAATTCAGCAGTTGTCTTTGTCAGCATTTCTTATATCCAGAAGTCTGTGGCCAGGAACCTTGGTTTTCTTATCCCATTTGTGTCCGTGCTTATGGCTATGATCACAATTCACATGGTGCGGGGTGAAATGATTTACAAACCCAAAACAGGTAAGAAGCAACTCTATCTTAGGAGATATCTTTAGAGATTATTTTCACAGAAGAGATCAACTTGCATATCTAAACAAGTTCTTCCACAACACTACCCTGTTTGGTTGGAGATCTTGGGGTTTAACTCTACAAGGTTTCTGTGTAAGAGACAATGTCCATCCTCTGTAAAGATAGACCTGGAGATTCTGGATAGGCTGAAAAAGTGGAAAGCAGTCTCTGGTAAACTTATGTACGTTTTCTGTCATGTCGAGGCGTGTGTCAAAGCATTTGCCTCTGCAGGAAGAGGTATAATATGCGTGCTGCTGGTGGAGTTCATTTTGTCATGTTTGGTTCAACCTATGCCCAATGTGTTTTGGTCAGTTGAAGCAGAGTTTGCGCCTATGGTAAGGCACCAAGCACACTTGTGTTTTCTCCCTTAAGTGTGCTCCATTGCTTTGCCTGAACTTGTACCTGGGCAGCCAAGCAGTGTGGTTAGTCAGCTAAACAGGAACATGCACTAGTAGCAAAGTAGTTTTATAATGCCTTTATCTTGCAGAATATCTGATGCTTATTGTTATTTCAACATGCTTGCTTATACAACATCAAGTGTTTTTACACATTTGAAAATAACTAGAAATACCAAATAGCTCCAAATAGCTCCTGTGCAGACTGCAGATATTTTAAAACAGAAGAAGTTCTTGCACTTCTGTGGCCTCACCAGTTAGTACCTGAGCTCTAGGAAATCCTTTGATGGCAGCTACCCCTCTCCATTGACCAAGCATGGAAATATAAGTGGAGCCTAGGTGACTTGAATGAGGCTGTAAATGCCCAAACCTTGCTGTTCTTTTTCCAACAGAACCCAGAAAGTGAAAGCAAGTTGTTATTTCAGTGTTTTTGTTATAATCTAAGCAAAAATATATTAGCAATGAGGGAATGAATGCATAAATCAAATACCTGGAAATATCATAGTGAGGACATCACTAAAGAGGTTTATTCAAAACAAATAGAGCCAAAGAAATGCATCCCCTCCACAGTGCCCAAAAGCCTCATGATAATATGCAGTTGAGGTCTGCAAAGACTAGCATCAAATTAGCTAGCTTCTTATGGGGAGAATGGTGGCTGGCTGGCTCGCTGGGGCTCTCTACAGGTTTTACAATCTGAGAAGCTAAAAAAATTCTTTAGTATCCAGCCCTGAGCTGGACTATTTCATATGGACTAAATCAGTGGAATAACAAATTTGTAGATCATGTCTATCTTGGCAATCAACAAAACTAGCAGAGGTTTTTTTTTTTTGTATCAAGTGTTTTTCCTATGAGTGTTGTTTGATTTATTGTGTATTTTCCAAGTCTTTGCAGAATGCTAATCTCTACACTAATATCTGCAAAGTTTTTTATCTCCTTAGTCAAAATAAAAGATAATATACTTTGTACCTTCCAGTGAGATAATGAAATTGGAAATTCTTCAGAACTGTAGTTCAAATCTATAGGTGACCTTAAATGATTTTTATATATGCTACCTTTTTTATTTTAACGTAACTCGTCAAATATGGATCATGCATTCAATTATGTTTAGCTGTCAAGCATGGACTTCATTTGCATTTCTTCCCACTGCTATAATTTTGAGGACTGGCAGATGACCAGAGATGAGAGGGAAAAAAATGTGTATCTACCATCTAGGGTGCAATGTAGGCTTTTTATTGTAATTAAGTAGCATAGACATTCATGATTAGATCAAGGTCAAAGTAGCAGAACATTAGAGCCCAGGGCTGAAGTATAAAGGAGAAGGAAAATCACTTTCTGAAAGTTGCAATTTAATATCTATACAGATAGATTTTTTTTTTTTTAATTAAAACATTAGAAATGCAAGTATGGAGTGTATGATGTTGATCTACACAATGTGCACTGATAGAAATATTTATGCTTTTAAATATGGCTCTTGCTAGCTGATTGGACTTGTAATCTGAAGAATTCCCCACTATTGAGATCTGTGGGCTTTAATTATTTTCTTTTAAAGAAGGGATGAGATACTTATTCTAACTACATCATTGGCAAAACCCTCTTTATATTGATTAGGTCTATGTATCATTCAAGTTGCTTTTTGAACTACAACTTCAAGCAGCTTTATCTTCCTAGTTTATTAGATCTTATAATCTGCTGGAATTCCATGCCAAGAAACACAGCTAAATAAAGTATTTGTCTGTTTTGCCTCATACAAAATAATGTTTCCTAGGTAGCTGACTGAAATTACATGAAAGAGGGCCTCAGCTGATCCATTAAGAAAGGCAGGGAAACATCAGGATTTGTTGTCTATTTTAGTCTTTTTTTCAGTGAGAGTAAGAAACAAAAGTCTGCCCAACATCTTCCATTCCAAAGGAAAGGAGATGGCCTTGACCATCTTTGAGACTAGGTCAGATAAACCAGGACACAGCCATGTTGTTGCTTTGTTGAGCTGTCTGCTGGTCTTGTCATGGGGTACTCTGTGTAACTTTGTATTTCAAACCCTTGTAGAGCAGTAACACAACATTACTGCTTTTCATTCCTTCTTTGTTAATGTCCAGCCTCTAGCATACGGAGAAGCAAAAGATTATCACTTCTCTGACCTAAACCATGTAACTACTAGTTCTGCCAATGGGTTGGGCTGACCCCGTCCTTTTTGGTTCCTTTTTTTTTTTTTTTTTTTTTCTTCTGAAAATAACTCTGCATGACAAGACCCCCAAGTCCCACTTGTTTTCTGGTAGCTCCTTGGTCAAGTCACTCTGGAATTCTGCAGATTTTTCTTTTAGTCTTAAGATTTGGTCTTGAAATAGTCTAGATCCTAAACTTAAACATCACTTACAAGGAGTGGTAAGAATAGTTGCCTAGTACAGTCACATAGAACAATAAAAACTGTACCAACTCTCTGTGTTTGCAAGCTTTGATATGCTATTTCAGATTTTATTCAATAGTGCAAACAGTCTACAGGTTAATGCTGAAGAGCCAGAGTTTTAAACATTAGGTTATCTAATAAAATGCCCTTTCTTAGTACTCTAGAGCAAGTGCTTCCAATAGGTGTTAATGGATATTTCTAGGAAAAAAATTCCATACCAGAGATAGTAGGGAGATGTTTTCCCTCTGCAATCTTAGTTCACCTTAGTTTTGGAAGGTATTAGTTTATAGATACCCAAGTTATTGTAGTGCTTCAACACTCTCAGAAAGGCAGAGAAGTGCTATAACCCCTATTTGTATGGATGGCAATTTACCAAAGGTAAATGAATCTGCATTCCCAAGCCTGAAGCTAATAGTTTTGTCCTTGTTTTACTTCCATTTCCTCTGAGTCTGAGAACCAAGTTAGCAATTCCTGAACCCAGTAACCAGGTTTTAATATGCCAAATACTAGATTGGAAACTTCTCCTCTACCACAGCATGTTACTTGGAAGTCCTAAGATAATATTTCTGGCTTTGAAATGCATCCATGAAAATTCTTATTTCATCAGCCCTCTTTTGAGCTCCCTTTCCTTCTCACTTCACTACTACCCTTCCCTTGCTGCTGGACTTCAGCAGATATGCAATATTTCAATACAGTCTTGAATTGGAAACTAACCTCATTCAATCAATAGAAAGCAAAAAGCGAAGGAAAGTAATACTTTAACTGCTCAACCACAGCAACAGGTGGTTGTGGTGTGTTAAATCACTGGTAGCAAAAGGCACTTCTCTCTGTGGATTTTGGGCTGAATTGCTTTCGTAACAATTAGGTTGTGAACCAGCTGGCTTCCAAAAAAAGAATGTTTTGGAAGAAATCCAGACTGTTACTGCCTTCCCCCTCCCCAAAAAGGCATAAAGGTGAATATATCAGGCTGCATTTTCCCTCCCAAAGTGTTTTGTCTTGTATCGTTTGTTTTGGCAGCAAGTAAAAACATACCAATGTCTAATGTCTCTGATTGTTTGCAGACAGTTCCCTGCTGACGACTTTTGGGGTAATTGCTAGCGCACTGAAAAAAACATGCTGCGTGCGATATCGCTACTTTAGCGGAAGCGTGGCAAACTGGCTAGATCATGCCAAGGAAAACTATGGTGGTCAGTACAGCGAGACTCAGGTGGAAAGCACGAAGTTGCTCTCCAGGCTCTTCCCGTTGTTTGCTTTCCAAATTCTATACAGAACATGTATTATACAGGTGGGTACACAGCTTTTAAATAAAAATCTTGAAATATACTGTGACATGTGTTTACTACTCTGTCTCTAGGCATGTTTTTTTAACTGTTGCTTTACCAGCAGAGCAACCTTGCAGAGTAGTTTTAATTACCTGAGAATATACCTTGCTATATCCTCTCACGTCATCAGATAAGTAAAACTGACTTGGTCAAGACTCATTAAGGAGCTTGTGTGACTGCTTGCCACTCATTTCTCTGAAGCCTTACTGGCTGAAACATCTAGTGCTAGAGTCCTGTGCTCCTCAGGCTGCTATGTTGCAGTTATCAGAGACTTGGGCTCAGCATTCTTTGAAAAAAAGTAATTTTCTAATTTCTTAAATGTTCACTCACTTTTTGGGAAAGGTAGCAAATCTTTATTGCTCTTTTGCTTGCATATTTCGCCTGTTGTTTTGAGTTGCTGGTGTACCTGTGCTGGAAATGGGTGGTTTTCCATTTGTGGGAAGAAGCGGTCTTTTCACAGCCTCTCTATCAGGCTACGTGGTTCTTTCCGCTTCTGAGTGCGTGTACATTATATAAATGTAAATGTGTCAAGAAGCTACTTAAGCTGACATGATTCCTTCAGATTCATTTCTGTCTGGATGATCCTGGCTAAGCAGGAGTTTGAGGTAGCTTACCCTTTGGCAACTGGAATAACAAATTTATGAGCTGGCTTGGAAATTCATTTTTACTTATTGGTGTTAAAATGCTGCTTAGGGAAATTCTTACAAATATGTACCGTTTACTGCTTTATTGACACTTCTTTCGCCATCATCCTACATTCCCATCCATCTGCCTAATTCGTTCTCCTCTTCCTTCCCTGTTCCCCCCCCAAAGCACAAAAAATCCGAAGCAAACAAAAAAAAACCCCAAACCAACAAACGCACACATGTGGCTGAGGCTATGCATTAATGACCAGATGGAAATGAACCAGATATCATTAATTGGGGTTGTAATAATCGGGTATATATCTAGAAAATATAAAAGTATTTGCACTGCTGAAAGAGATGACTTTTATTCCTTTGGCAGAATTTCCAATACATTTAAGGCTCGCTCTTAGACTAGGTGATAGATCAGTATCTTTTTTGTAAAGATTAATAGTATTTTCTCCATCTTATGAAGTTAACAGCTTTCAGTGCCTGTGATTCATGTTGATGATATTTTAATTCTTATTAAGAAGTCAATTCTGATTTGCAATAGGCAGTGGAAAGAAGGAACCAATAAAATTTGCCTCAATTCTGATCTTTCATAGTTCTGTTGCCATTTATTCACCCTTTTACAATTTATATCTTCTTTTGGGAATGGAATGTAGGTGAAAAATATTTTTATTAAGAGCTAGCATTTGAGTAATTCTTTAGCACTGAACAGACTCCCAGTGAGCAGAGTTGACGATAACCATTGATGAGAAACCCTGTGTGAGCTCAGTTACTAACTATACATTAATTTTCAGACAGCTATAAAGCAGTAATATTCTACCTGCATTTGGCATTACCAGTCATGTTGAAGAGCCATGCAGAATGCTGCAGGAATCTAGAACTCTCTAAAAACAAAATAGAGTAAAGAAACCAGTTCTACACCCAGCTCTGTCATGGCTGTACTCTGTGAATTGCTGAAGTTACCTCTCTTTCTTTCTCCCATCAGTCTGTAAAATGGAGCAGATTATAACTCCCTGCTGCACATGAAATTGCAATGCTGAGTTAATCAAGCTTCCTTTAAAAAAAAAACAAACTGAAAAATCTGTTGGTAGAAGCTATTGTGATTTTTTTTTTTTTTTTTTTTTAATAAACTGAACAGATATTCTATAGAGCCTCACACAAGCAGAAGGAATTATTTCCTTTTGAAGTGAGAGACAGTGTTATAAATCTACTTAATTTCCTACCCTGATGACTGCCATTGGTGGGCTCCTCATCTGGTTATTTGTTTTCTTCTGTTTTGAATTCTCAGAAGTAGAAGGAAGTCCTCTATATAGCTGCTATGGCTGTCAGTTACATTAACCTGGTTCTAAGACTGTGGCCAAATCTTCATTCCCTGTAGCTTTTAAAGCCACATGCTGGCAAGAGCATCTTAAAAACTACTCCCACCTTGAGCACAGAATCAGAAGTTCAAAATAACTCTGCATCTTGCTATTCTAAAATTCTGTTCTGTCAAACACTGTCTGTGAGAAGTGACTAAAGTATTATGCAGAACCTTTTAGTATATTGGCTGATAGTTCTAAGTAGGGATGATCAAATAAACTCATGGACTGCTGCTTAGATTTGTTAAATTCAGGAGCAAATGAAATAGAAGGAAAATGCTACATTCTGGCAGAGAATGAGAATGTCACTATCTGAAAGGCTTTCATCATGAATGGTCATTTCTTTTGGCCAGCAGGTATTTGGTTTACGGTGACTTCTTCAGAAGGAAAAGAGTTGGAGAAGTTTCCAAATGTAGTAAAAATCTTATCCATGAAAGGTACTTGCTATACTTATGGAGTGGGGTTTTATTCTTCAATACAGATTCCTTCAGGATATTATCTCCAAACCATGAATTCCAACTTGCATTTCAGTGGATTCGTCTTGCCAGTTGCAGCAATGAATGTGATAAGCATCGTGCCACTACTGATTCTTGTTCCTATTCTGGAACAAATTAACTCGTGTCTCTTTAATGCCAAGGACACTGGACGTTCTCCAACAATTTTCATTGGTATGTATAAAATACATGTGTTTATGCAGTTTCAATATGTATTCTGTTTTGAAAGAGAAACTTCAGTAGCTGATGGATGATCCTGTACAATTATTTCTGACTATAAAAGGTAAGATGGAATTGTTTTGGGATTATGCTCAGAGGTAAATATGTTTCAGAGGAATTGTTGAAAAGAAGGTCCTGAAAAAACATTGTAGATATCAAGAAAAAATGCATCGCTTTTGTGTAGGACAGAGACTGAGACTCTTCTGACCGATAAAAAATTTTGAGACATGCTCATAAATAACTAGGAGTCATCCTAAGGAATGGGTTAGAGAAACGGCACTAACCATTTAGGCCTGACACTTACTCTGACTTGGTTATCTTCTGTATGTTTGTTTATCCATTAACTTTTGGAAAGTTAATTTACTTTGAAAGTTTTGAGCGGGGATGGGAGAGTCCTTTGGTTGGTTGCTCTCTGATACTGGAGAAGTATTCAGTGCTCAGAATGGTGTTTGGATTTAAATAACTAGGTTATGAACACAGGCTTTGTTTTTCTGATATTTTTATGCTATAACTGCATCGGCATTAGAACTGTAGCTCATAAAAGGGAAATAGTATTATCTCTTGTACAGTTTATTCCAGACTCTTCCATTGCATCACAAGTGAAATAAAAGTACCTAGTCTAATTGTGTGTCTGCAATAGGTCTTTTTAGAACTGGCAAGCAGAAGAAAACATGCAGACAACTATGCAAAACAAATGGATGCGTATCACTGGACTGCTGTTCCCATGGAGCAGGCCGAACAATTCACAGGTGGCAGGTTACTTGGAGAGGTACAGCTTTCCTCTCTAGTACTAGAATTTTCATTTGTATATCTAGTATTGGATAATTGTCCAGGTGTTTAGTAATTTTATTTATTAAAATCATAAACTGAAACATACCTTGCTGTACATTCACTTAAAGTAAAGCAAAGCAGGATCTCCAGAGGTGAAGTATTATCTCATTCTCATAGATGTGGTACAAAGAAGTATTCTCTGTTGAGTCCCCGTGTTTTCAACATAAAGTGTTGTAAGCTCAGGCTTGCAGATTGGCACTCATTTTGGAGAAATTCATAGCATAGAAGTAATGATGGTTTTAGTAGAGGTTGGGCCTCCTTCTGTTGACACTGATGTGAAATTTATTTTTTTTTTAATTACCCCATAGTGCCAAACCTCTTATGTTCTACGATCTGTAAGAAACCTCTGCAACCCTCTTCTGATATCAGCTACATCTAGCACCACCAGAAAAGCAGCTTCCATTCTGTGTTCACTTAAATCTATTCCTTTTCGTAGATACTCTCATTAAACTTCCTACTTTTTTTTATCTTCCAGCCTGCATTACAAACCTCAGACAAAAATATTTATAAACGACTATTTTCTCAGTGTGTTACTATTAATTCAGTGCCCCGTGGCAAGCAGCACAGTGAGTACTGACACACACAGAGGTATTAATCTGACTAAATTAGCCTAATTAAGAGTGTTATTAAGTTTTATACAAACCAGATGCATATAACACAGCAGGTTGCAATTACCCTAGTTTTTAAAATAACATCTGCATTAAAACACAAAAAGCACATTCAGATAATAATTTTCCTTAAAACCATGGAAATTTCAAGTTAGTATTAATGTTCTATCCTGTTATGTTGAACAGCAGTAGAATATATGCAGTGGTTTATTCTTAATAGCGTCATTTATTAAAATAGCCTCCTGTTAGGGGTGATAAATTACCTGAGGCATAAAAATACCTGTGAGTACAGGCGATGGCTTTAGATATCCAAGTATATGACTGCACCTGCAAATATGGTAGACCTCTAAGTGCCAATATTTTTGCCAACAGTTAATTAGGTTCACAATTATTTTCAGGAACAAAATTGGAAGTATAAATAGGCTGTTGGTGTTAAGCCAGCCTGTAACTATATTTTAATTCAAGTCTTGTAAGAAGAAGAAATTTAAATAGTTTTCTGGAAATTTTCAGTATGTCAAGAATAACAATTTTCAAGGACAAACCATATAGACAATGTTGAGCTGAAATATCTGATTGCTCTGTAATAAGAATCTACATGGAAACTGTAATCTATGTTACTTTCTCTATAGTTGTTGGTTTATTTGTAAATTAGGTATGATCTAAAAAACCTTAAAATCCTAACGTGAATTTAGATTGTCTCCCAAATATATTGAGTATCTGGACCTCTTTATGAAAAACATGAATATTTCATAAACTTAGAATTTTTCCAGTTTTATAGTTGTTTGGTTTGGGGGGGGGGTCTTTTATATTTTATGTTGCTTGATTTAGTCAATAGTATAGAAGATTCAGCACAGAACTGAAGGTGTGTCTTCTGGATAGTTGTCCATCAGCTACACACAAGAGGCTCTAGCTGAAGTACCTGAGCCACAGAAGTTCTTGCACTAATATTCTTAATGCCTCATTATACTGAAATGTCTTATTAGTCTTGGATTTACTCCATCCAAGAGCGACGCGGAGAACAGCTCTCCGTACACAAAAGCAAGCCTCCAGTCCAATGTCTATTTGAGGTGATTTGGGAGTTGATGATGACCATTTCTCCCTAAAAGATGGTCTAGTTTAAACAAGTATTAATTCCAGGAAAGCTTTTTGACCTGTTTTACTTGGGATATGAGATCAGGAATCACAAAGATCCAATACAACCTTAGTCACTAGATAATATAAACAACCTTGTCCTAGAATCAGCCCCAAGTGTTCCTAAAAGCAGCCTGTTCCTCTATAAAACGAAAGCCTCAGATGGTCATTCCAAACTGCTTGTTTTAAAGAGGACTGAAGGGATAAGAGGTAGAAGGAAAACCAGGTCTCCAAGGCTCTCCGTTTCTTCCTCTGCCACATAATGCCTTAAAAGAAATATTACAGTTGTTGGGCATTCAGAGGTTACTTTTTTCTGAAATGTTTTGGCTTTTAGTAAGGAAAATGCTTAAAATATAGCACTGTGTAGTAATATAGAACTGCTTGAGGTTTCTTTAGTACTAACATAATTTTTTATTAGGAGAACTCTTGCTTTGGTAGATTACAAGAAGCTCCTTGAGGGCTTTTTACCTGGCCTTGATAAGGTGCATTGGCTAGAAAATGCAGTTGAATTCCCTCCTGTCATCAATTTTCAAGCAATAATTCATTGATGTTCTTATTAAGCACTAGAGGGGCCTTAACAGCAAAACAGCCTCCAAGCTTCTGGTTAGGCAGGGAGGACGGTATTCAAAGTCATGAAAGCTGAGAAAAACTGTGCTGGTAGAAGGGTGTGAGACTCTGCTGCTGAGAAAAGAAACAGATGCGTGCAAAAACATAAGAAGGCTAAGGCCACTTAGCTATTTCAGTTTTCTGCCCCTTCTGTCCTGACACCCAAAGAGACAAACTTTATATATGTTATAAATATAACATTAAAAAAAGCCTTTGACTGTCAATGTCAAATCTAATAAGTGTAACAATTTCTGGTTGCAAAGTGAGCCGAGGCTTTGTAAGACAAGTGGAAAAACATAGTCCAGGTATTTGAGCCAAAGAAGTCAAAAGAAACCAAATTCTTACACCTCTACTTGCATTATAGCTTAGAAATGCTGAGGAATCACAAACTTAGTCATAATGAATGGGACCTCAAAACGTCAGAAGTATAAATGTTTCAAGTTCAGGAGACTGACTTGAAAACTTTGCTTTCTTTGTGTTTTCTGGTAGGCTACAACCATTTCATACTGTCAACATCAAGAAATGTAGAATAATACATTTAAATAGTATCCTCTATGCAATATGTGGTGAAGTGTGTGGTATTTAAAATACATCCAAGTTCATTAGAAGCTTTTATCTTGCATTAGGAGGCTAAACATATAGGTGGGGTTTTTTCCTGCCTTGTGTGCTTGTGCAGTACTTGTGCCCTACCTCTGAGGCAGGGGGTAAGACTCCATGCATTGCATGTGCAGTAGTATACTGAAAGATATTGTGGATCCCGTGTATTACAGATCGTGCAGTGATACTCCTTCAGGGAGGCAACTGTGGTCCAATGGTTTATGTGTAGTCACTCAGGAAGCTGGAGTTTGTCTTCCGGTAAGGCAGCTCATCTCATCCTAAAATGTTAAATAGTCCAGCAAAGGCACTATCCAACAAACTTTCAGAAGTAGTTCAAGGGAACCCTATAGTGGATGGAAAGGAGGAAATGTTGGAATGCTTGATCTCCTGAGGCGTGATGTGCATTGCTGATCTTTTTCTCTCCCAGCTACCGTGGCCTGCAGCCTTAGAAATCCAGTACTTCAACTGCACTACTTCTTTTTTGTGTAGAAAACAACTGGGTAAAGCATACAGTGTCTGTGTGTATTTCAGAACCTTACTGCTCCTTGAATAGAAGAATTTCCCCCTGCTTGGTAGTCTTGTTCCTACCCAGTCTTTTGTGATAACTGGAAGGAGTGCTGCTTTTCCTTTCTTTCCTCCTTTCTTACCTCCCTCAGACTTTAAAATAAGTTCTTTTTTGTGACTTCGCTCTTCAGAAAAGTTTTTCCTTGCTCATTTATTCTGCATCCCTAAATTCTTTCCGTGTTGAGCTGGTGTCCCTTTGTCATATGTTTATAGAGTTAGGCTTGTGGTGTAGCAAGTACTCTTTATTCATGTTCATGTGTCCAAAGAGGATGTATGGGGTGGGGGAGCTTCTTTTGCATCTCCTACGACTTTGCTTCACTCTAAATAAATGATGATCCTGTAATGACAGCCTTGGTGAATGCTCTCTGTGCTCTTTACCCAGTTGTAGGTCAGTTATCTGCTGCACTTTCTGTGATGGTTGCTGGCTTCTCTGAAATACACCGAAAGCATTTCCCTCAGGTGGAGCAGACGCTTTCCGAGGAGGTTCTCCTGGTCTCCTCCATGCCTTGCTTCCACTTAGCTCCTCAGTACATCCTACTTGGAGTGGCTGAAGCCTTGGTAACTCCCTCCTGTAAGTAAGATCTAATAGGCTAAAGCAAGAGTGTCCTGATTTGCAGAGAATGATATCAGCTTCCTAAAAATAATTACTGTCATCTGATATTTTATCCCTGGCTCTCTTCCATGGGCTTAATGAGCAGATCTGTGCTTTACCTGCTTCAGAGTAGCATAATTTGTCTTTCTGGCTGTAACTCAGAGTGAGCAATGACATTGTTCCAGATTAACTGGAAGGCAACACAGCCGGGTCAGGTCCCTGGGGTGTGTAACCCACCGTTTGGTGGGGGCATGATCAGAGCAGTGAGACCCTGCGCTTGGGTGCATGACTGGTCTTGAAGCTGAACGTGCTTCAGGTTGGGGCTGGACCAGAGGAGCTCCTGAGGTTCCTTCTGACCTGAACTCTTCTGTGATGATTTTCTTGAGATAGAACAAATATGTACATGACAGCTGAGCTGTGGTTACGGTCTGTGAGCACTTTTGAGGCCACAGTCAAAGCAAGGTGAAGCAATTTAGCTTAACCCTTTTCATCTGTGGACCCAGCTAATAGAATTATTATGGATTTTTCACTGACGCAGGGTGTATGCAGGCGGGTAACACAATTCAACTGACAGGCTAACCTGGAGAATATTGTAAGCAGATGCAAGATTTTTGTTTGTGCTCAAGTCAGGAGTCATGCAAACATGCCTGCACAAAGCATCATGCCTTAGCTTGTGGCATGGAGCCAGAGATAAACACTCCTGTTTTGCAGAGCACAGGCAGAGCTTAGCTCACGCCTGCCATCCATAAATTATGTAGATGCATTCTTGATTGTGAGTCTGAACCTTCTCTCCCTTCCATAATTTACCTTTCCACCTCTACACTGACATTCCTGAGGCTTATTTTCTTTTGAGGGGCACACAGAGTGCTTACCAGTGTTTTCCCTTGCAGAGCTTAAAAGAATGTTAATATTACAAAAATAATGTAATCAACATTCACTTAGAGACACAGATAAAGTCATTGACTAGCTGATCTCTGCAGGAATTTAATTCTACAGGTTGAGTGTCTATTGTTCCAGGACAACCCCAGAAATGCTCAGATTTTTATTTAAGAGTAGGAAATATCTTCAGTGTCTCAGCTTTGTTCTTACACTCTAAGACTGCTGAGAGCTGTGGGTCACGGTCTGTCACTAAAAAGGTAATTTTCCCTAGTTTTAAATACTTAGCACTTTCATAATGCCTCTTCATCCGATAGCTCTCAAGTACTTAACCGAGACAGGTTTCTAGGCAGGTAATGTGGTTTCTAGGTTACAGGCTAAGTGTAACTGAAAACTGTGACCTTCTCTGTTTAGCTTAACAAAAAAAAAGGTTAGGAGGTGGCTTGCTTACAGTCTTCTCATGCAGAAGCATGCGAAGCATATTGCTGGTAGAATAAGGCTTTCTAATCTAGCACGCTGGGATACAACAGAAGTCCAGTAAGTGGAAGGTGACATTAGCCTTTAGAAAAGAAAAAAAACCTCCATCTTGGTTTTTTGGGGTTTTTTTGTTGTTGTTTTGTTGGGGGTTTTTTTTATATTTTTAAAGGATTGTGATTAGAATTTCTTAGGAAGAAAATTTTCTTCCCTATTTAAATAAAGATCGAGCATCTTGCTAAAAGCTGTGGTCAGAGGTGCGATTCAAGAACCCAGTAAATGGGGTTAAGTCTGAATTTGAGACTTGCATGTAGAAAACAAAAGGTAGGTACCTAAAATAGTAGGTTACTGCTGTAGCTGATGGCGATGCAGGCCTCCATTCACTTGCCCACACATAGGTGTCTGGCACCATTTGTCATGGAGTATCTCGGCTATACACGTGCGGCAAGCAGGCTCTTTTTGGTACCTGTGTGGCCTCCAGCTGCTGCTGGAGAAGAGCATGGTTTTTCCGTAGGTCTTGCACCTTAATCAGACAGCCCCGTGCAGATGGCTAAGGTGCACTAGAGTATTTCAGGCAGCACTGGGCACCTGTATTCAGGCTACTGAACTGAGCTCTAGGTTTCTGCTTCAATTTGAACTGAATTGCTGTTCAGGAACCATTCAGTGGATCTCCATGGATGGTAATGACAGCCTAGACACTTAAGTAGTTGTTTCACCTTTCCTGACATTTTCCTGCCTTTGTTATGCAGAAGGTCAAATTCAATTATCATAATAATTTACTTGACCTGAAAGTACATGATCCAAGTTGAAGACAGAAATGTTCACACTTGTAATCAGAGGGAAGAGAGGAGATATCTTATTTCCGAAGCACTTGGTTAGAGGAGCTAGATTTGGCATATTGAACTCTTTATCTACACTGAACCCTGATAGTTACAATTGTGTTTATACAATATATTTCAGTATCTTGTTGATAGGAGTTTTATATAATCATCTGCTTCAGGTGGCATAAGCATCTCTTAGAATAATATCAGCATTTAATATTTCTCTAGCACTGAGGTGGTCTTTAAAAAATAAAATAAAATAATGATAAAATAATTGCTCTCTTCCACAGTGTTAGAATGTAAGATCTCACAGGCCTCTGACAGCTTGAATTTGTAACCCCAGCTTGGTTTCAACTAGGAAATTACTCTTTTAAAGCCCAATGATTTTGAGGGGGGAAACAAAACCAAAACAAAAAAACCCCCCCCAAAAAAAAAAAATCCACAGAAAAAAAAAAATCCACAGAAAAAAAAAAACCAAACAACTCCATCCTGTGGGACAATATTAGCAGGCATTTGCCCCCACAGTGCATGAGATTGCTGGTGAAGGGAAGCCAGCCTGCTGGCCACAGCAGCTGTGTTACACTGCCAGTGTCCAAGCCTTCTGGTGCACTGTAACTACTTTGCCCTACAAAGGGTTAGCAGATTTGCAGTGTTTGCTGAAGTGCTGCAAGAATATCATCTGCCCATCAACACGTCTCAAAGCACTTAGAAATGGGAAGCCCTGTAACAAACAGCTCTGTTAGTTAAAGGATATATTGGGGATCACTTCACCCACCGATGAAATGCAATAGTCTCCAGGGTGAAATGCAGCAGCTGTTTAATAGTTCACAGCAGCATCGTGGGAGAAGCGAGGAACAGAGTATGCAATTGAAACAGCAGGGGTAATTTAGGTAAGTAGGATGCAATTACCCAGGCTGAATTTGGCCCAAGATGCATGTTTTGCACCCCTGCTTTTAGAAGGGAGGACTAACCAAAAACTTCTTAGGCTCTTAGTGATTCAAATTAGCTAGGACACTGACTGTACAATGTTTCAGACTGTACTGTTACATCTACAGATGGTGTCCCAGGCTCACCTGCTTTTTCTTGCCCTCAGGCTTTCGGTTCCCATTGCGAATGAGGAAAAAACACTGCCTGTGGGTTGGTTGGGTTTTTGTTTTGGTTTTTTTTTCTCTTTTCCTTAATATGCTTGCAAAGCTCTCATTTGGACATCCAAATTAAAAAGGGTGGAAGATGGTGATTGCAAAGTTTCATTTGTATTCAGAGATGCTTCAGGCAACTCAGCATCCAAATAGGATCCTCTTCTGACAAGTTTCTCAAGCTGAAGGTCATTCAAACTCAACTAATAAAGTGGGGTGGGAGACACTGGGGCTTGGAGAACAAGTGTGGATGAGGCCTTAAGGTATGAAATTAGGAAACAAGGTATTGATCATCAGGAACAGTTGCTCAAAAAGAACAGCTGTCATAACGACTTACTGCTACTGTAACCTAGTTTAGCCAAATTACAACTGGTGGGAGTATTTATAGTCATCCATGCTACAATGGCATGCTACAGCTCCACCTCACCACCAAAGCTGTTGCTTCTTCTGGTTTAGTCTTCTGGCAAGAAAGTGAAGAACAATGTCTTAAAAATTAGCCAGTGACTCTGGGGGTTGCTCTCTGGGGAAGAGGAGCATTGTCCAGCCTTAAGCTAAAGCAAGGTAACTGTCCAGGTTAAGGTAGAGCTCTGGATTTTGGAAGTATTTACTAGTGGCTGCGCTGCATTGGCTCTGGCATAGGAGGTCCCGCTGTCCTGCAGTTAAATATCACATCTGCTGTCTTCACGCTTGCTGACTGTGGTGGTGTTTCTCTTGTCTATGCTATGCCTGAGGTTTGAAAAGGTGAAAGCAGTGAAAGATCTTTACGTGCTTGTGGAATATCGATAGTTGTATGTGGCATGGTTTGTTATGGAGAGTCTTTTAAACAGTTTAGATAACCCTTTGTTAATAGGGTACATACTAACATGTCTGAATACCCTTCTGCAGCAAGTACATACTCTGTGTAAAATATGGAAAGTCCCTATTAGAGACACTTTTGGATTTTTCTCTCTTATCTATCTTCTACCATCATTTACTTTTTTTTTTAAACTTGTAACTGTATCTGGTTCCTTTCTAAGGTTCCTTACTTGCATTCCGGCTTGTGCCAGAAAGAATTAGAGGGATTTCCATGCATTTTTTAACTCTCTTTAATGGAGCTGGCTGCTTTATGGGAGCTTTCTTTGTTCACACAGCCCACGCAGGCACTCAAGGTAAGAATATGCTTATGACCGGTGTTCCTGAACAGTTTTCTATTATTATTGATTTGGAGAATTAGGCAGCAGAATTAAAGGGGACGCCAAAGTTTTATTGATTTGCTCTCACAATTAAGATGGAATTAAGATAGGAAATAGCCTTCCAGCTGTATTCATCCAATTTTAATGAGTCATCTTAGTTTTGATAGTTGGAGTAATTAGAGGATGGCATCTTGCAGGAAGCCCTCACCTCCAATCTCCATACTTCTGTTCTGGAAGACAAGAAAATAAATAGTCTAGGAAGCACCTTTTTATGTTCATGAAGAAGTACGTTCATGTTAGCCACACTTACGTGGAAGCCTCTGGCCATGAGAGCAAGCTTAGTGCTTCAAAGAATGGACAACATGCTTTTCCTTCTGTTCCACAGTGTTGTAGGGGAAAGGAGGTTAGGTTGAGTGTTTCAAAGCTGTCTGGAGAATTTGTTCCCCCAGACCCACTACTACTCTCTTGCCTTCTTTATGCCCCTCCCTTTGCTCAGCTACTGGAAGAACCAGGTTCTGTGACAATATGGTCTCACTGTGGTTTTACTGTTTTGCAGATGAATACTGCAATTCCCAGAGAACTTAGTGTTTCAAAAGGAGTTATTTCAGATTCAGCCTGTTGAGGAGCATTTAGTGTAAGCCCTGAACTGGAGATTTTTCTGGGTTGCTGACTTTCCAGACAGGCCAAGGGTTTCTTAAAGTCTTTTTTTCCTTTGCTGATGAATCTTTGTTCAATACAGAAAAGACTTGTTTCACAAGTAAATTTAAAAAGTAGAGCACCTGAGTTCTTGAAACAAAGGACGGGGATCCCTTTGTTCACATGCCTGAAATAGTTCCACTTGCTGAAGCAGTACTTTGAAAGGTGTTCCGCTGATAAGCTTCCTTGTTACTGCACTACATAGAACTGTTCTCTTACAGAGCACAACCGCTGGCCCTAACGCATGACACCATTGCAATTACCATGACTGCAGAACTTTGTAACTCCTCATGATTAAGTTTTGGGTTCCTTTCTTCCCTACATAAGGAGCCATGTAACTTAAAAACAAGGAGAAGTGGGTTTTTTGAAAGTATGACAAGAACTTTTAATTCCTGCTTGCAAGATCTGAACAAACGAATGGTTCTTTAACATGCAGTGCTATTTTTAATTCAATTAAAATCTTAGTATGAGGTATAAAAGCATCACCTAGAGATGGGTGAAAACCAGGAATGCTTACCCAAATGAATCAGGCAGAGAACTATTAAGTACCAAGACATCCAGTGTGGAGAGCAGAGCTTCTTGAATGTCCCCCAGTGGAATAGATTATTTTTTTTAATTGGGTAATATGGGTTCAGTGAAACTACACTTCAAGAAAGACTGTGTTGCTGACTTTTTTTCTTCCCCTCCCCACAAAAGTATGGGAATTATTAAGGTTGAAATATTTTGTTTTAGTAAAATTGACATATTTTACTGACATTTGACTTTGGGTATAATTAAATATTTATAAAATAATTAAGCATAATGTCAGCATGAAAATATTTTTACTGTAGTTGTGCCACTATATATGTAACTTATTTCTTTACAGAAAGTTTTCATACAAAGCAATAGAGGAAATCAATTTTCGCATTTGGTTTGCAATTCAGTAGATTTTTGTCTAATTTTATATCAAGGCAATTTATTCCTTTTCTGTAAGCCTGTATGAAAACATTTAATTGAGTCAAAAAAGAAAATGTTCATTTCTTGCCAGAAATACTGTTCTATCAGAGCCTTCAACTTCTTATCCTGGCTGGGACCAAAAAGCCTGAACTCTCAAAATTCTCCACAGTCTGCAGTTGCCATGTTCTAACCCTTTTTGCTCAAGATTTTTGAGCAAATGGAAAAAGTTTCCTGGCTAAAATACTCCTCACTTCTATGAATTTGGATGGCAAACTTCTCTACTTAGCTTTTGGAAAAAAAAAAAGGTGTAACTTATGTCTTCATTTAACTTTGTCAAACCTGCCATTCCTGTAGATGGAATTGACTGCACTATTATCCTGAGCAAAAGTCACTCTTAAATTTCCAAGGAATTCAGTGACAGTCTGTATTCAGATTAAGGTGCTGTAATGGGACTGAATAAGCCCCTAAATAGGGGAAGTCCTCTGCAAAACTTGAAAAACTTTAGAGAAAATATAGTGAAAAGTGTTTAACATTTACTCTGTTGCTCTAGTTAGAAGCGTTAGAGATTACTTTCCCTATTAATATGTAAACAACATAGTATTGGGCTCTTACCCAGTGAGATTTCCCTTATTTTTAGAAATAAAATGTATCTCTTTCCTAGTGTTCCCTGCTTGAATGAGATTAATTATTCCAACTTACCACAATTCACGCAATTCACAGCTTGTAAATAATGGAGATACTCCTGTATCTTCATTTGTGTTATAATGCTTCAGACTGAAGACTTAGAGTATTCCTCTACTCATCCCTGCTAGACTTTTTGTCCTGCTGGCTCATAAATCAAAATAGGCTTGGGATCAGACTTCTGGAGCTGGGTATAGACTATAACAGAACCAAAGAGGCATTTAGGCTTGGTTTTGGTTTTTTTCCTAGTTTGACAGGAAATGTTATATACAAAATTCTCTTGTTCCATCTGTACTTTTCCAAACTCTTCTACTGTGCTTCTTATGGTGTTCTTTGGTGCTTGTGAAGAAAAGCTTAAGATCCACAAAATAATAATTTTTTAATTTATAAAACCTAATGGTTACCTATTGAACCTTCTAGAGATGACAGCACTTCAGAGAATAAAACTGTGACCTCTCTTAGGTCAAATTAAGATCGAATGACACAAATTATGCTCTCATTACTTGCATTTGTTTGGGTTTTTTCAGCTCTGTTTAAAGAGCTGGTAAAACATTCAGTATCTGGACAGTGTATGGAAGTGGGGGTAAAGCAAACCAACTGGAACTCTTTTTTTTTTCCCTAAAAAGCTGAGCTATTTTATTTATATTGGAAGACCAAGTTCTTTCTCTTTTGCTGAAAGAAGATGATAGTGTTTATTCAATGGTTTTGTAAGATTTAACAAGGTTTAGTGTGTGACTCTTGGGCTATGGGTGCTTTTGTCTTGTCCCATGATTCTTGTTTCACTAAAACCTGAGCCAAGACTATTTCTGGTTCTCCCATCTCTAAGCAATGAGACCATGTTTGCCATGAAGCAATTCAGGATACAGTGAAGTAGATCCTCCAGTGTGTATTTTGAAGTGCTGAAGCACAGAGGGTGTTGACAAAATTTAAACATTTTTATATCCTATTTCATGCCACTAGTTTAGAATTTTATTTGGGTTTTTATTGGCAAAGTTGATCAGATATCAGTCACAGTCAAAGCTGCATTAATCATTTTTAACGCATCTATGGAGGATGGTGTGAATATGATAAAATAAGACTTTTTAAAAAACTGACGAGTGCAAACAGATGACGGGTGACAGCGATATTTTCGGTACAAGCTGGGAAACTGCTTTCTTTTGGATCTTTTACCTCTCCTAACATTTTAAGGGAAGAAGATGCAAGACAAAACCTGTCCTCCTATGCCAATCATTTCAGAATATATTTCTCTAAAAATATTAATGTAAATATGTAAGAAAGAGGCTGGGGGGGGGGAAGGTCAGAAAAAGGAAACTGCCCCAGACACAGTTTTCCTGCTTGAACTTAGAGAACTGGGGGTGGTGGTGGTGGTGGTTTTTGTTTGTTTGGTGGTTTTGGTTGGGGGGGGAGTTGTTTGGTTTTTTGTTTGGGTTTTATTTTTTCTCCAGTTTGGAGCCTTGTGTGATTCTCAATACCAAAGATGATAAAGCTAAAGGATATTTCTTGCAGTCCAGATGGTAGTGTCCACTGGTGCCTACTTAGCTAATAAGGATTAGAGGCGGACTGAGACTTTAATTTGGGTATGATTAAACACTAAATATATGCCCACTAACTTGATGAAATGATGGAAGGCAATACAATCCTTTTCTAAGATACAAATTAAATTTTTCTAGAATCGTAGTCTAGGTTGCAGTATAGCTATAAAAATGCGGGAGTTGTACAGAATAGACTAACTTCTGGCATGTGGCTGTTTTGCTTTGTCTTCTGTGTTTTCCCAATACTAAAATATGATGGTGTTATTCAGTAAACAAACTGAATGCCTTCCTGCGCAACTTTGGCCTTTGTTGTGAATCCCTTGAGAGCTTCAAGGGTGCCACCATAGTAACAGATAGCTTGTGTACACAAGCTATGTCAAAGACTGGCTTACAGCCCTTTCCACGTCGTCTTTAACGTCTAGTATTGCCAGCGGTTTGTCACTGTTGCTCAACCACCAGAAGCAGCCCAGGACAGTGTTTTTGTCCGTGTCCTAGTCCTCGCTTCACCTACTTTTCTGCCTGTGTTGGTAGGATCAGGTGTTTTCTCTTGGTGTTGTATAATATTCCTCCTTCTTGTACTACCTGAGCATTTTTGATGCAAAATCGATATGACTGCAAAATGTCAGTAAAAGTTTACCAGGCACTTTATTTCAACACTGTATGGTATAGCAGGCTTGAGGAACTGACTCTGCCTAGACTTAATCTTCTAATTTGTTCTAAATTTGCCATGAAATGCATAACCAATTCACCTCTAAACAATAAGAAAAGAGTCTTTAAAATAGACACAGCTAAAGGAAGCTTCTGATTCTCTGTGGTGATTCATGCTACAAAGTATTTCCATTGTTGAAATAAAAAAGGAAATCAGGAGCTTGTTGTAGAAAGTTAATTCCCAGTGAGCAATTATCTATGTGACAAACCAACCTTGTAATTGGCACTTCTGTTGGCAATCTCCATAGAAAAGTAAAGGATTGACAGAACCCAAAGGCAGTGTCTTTTGGGGGAAAGTGAATTGTTAGCATATTGCATGCTGATTCAAGGATGAGAAAGTACTGGACTCTTCAAACACAGTAGTGCCCAAGGCATCTTCCTCCAGCAAAACCAAACAAACTGGCCCAGTAAGTGCCTGATGTTCACGGCTGAGAGTAAAATCCTGAAAGTATGAACCCCAAACGCAGTCAGTGGAGGGTGCTGGAGTCTGCAGACAGCTTGTGGAAGGTGTTAGTGGGGTAAGGGGTGAAAGCACCTAAAGGGAGTTTTGCTGCCTGCAACACACCGTTGATGTTTTAACACCAATGGTTGTTTTCCCAAAGCTTCCTGCCAGCAGAGGATTCTCTGTGCAGTGAGCGTAAGTAGAAGTAAATGTAGTCCAGGCTTATCCTCTCTTTCATGGAAAACCAAATTCCACTTAAAAAGGAAAAGAAGAAATAAGAAAAGTAAGAAGTAAATATTTTTGGCTGAAAACAGGAAACAGTTACATTAATATTTGCTGTATTCACTGATGAAGATGTGTATTGGCAGTCGGATAATAGTCTGGATATCTCTAGGACTGCTGCCACCCCTGTTTCTCTGTAGAGAAAGGCACCTCGACAAACCTTGTTGCCCCTCACTGAAAGGAAAAGAAAGCCTTGCTCCTACCTCTTGCTTCAGATAGAGCAGTAAAAGAGAGAGAGCACGCATGCTATGAGAGCTGGAGACTTACCATGCCCAATATAATTTTGGCCCTGGCTATGCTGTTGCTCACTTATAAAACAGGATTCTCCAAAGGCTTTGTGTCGTTATCGTGGCCTCACTGTTTAAACACTGGCAATTACTAAAGAAGCAGATAGGAGACAGAGCAATGATCTTTGACCCAGGCCACGGAGGAGACTGGTGGTGAAGTGGGGGCAGAATCCAGCGCTCCTGCTTGCTGGGCTGCCCTCCCACCCTGATAAAACCAACTATTTCCACTTTCAATGCTTCAATATAGTGCCTTTGCTAGCATTAAGACAGTTTCAAAGGTCCATTTTACTCTGTTCTCTTAGAAGCTTAGATTCCTTCCCCCCCCCCCCCCCGCGCCCC